AAGAAAACGCTAGCCACACTTATTTTAGGGGAGTATGGGAGTAGGAGGACATGTAGGAGTGGTTTCCTCTTTCTTCCTACTATTTTCTGAATTTCCCAAACTTTCTATAATGGTCATGCATTACATTTTTGGTAAATGTTTTGGTGAAATGTAAGGCATGGTATTATTTTTATAATTATAAAAATTAAAGTTTACTTGTTAAAAAGAATACAAGACAAATACCTGTCCTTTTGTCGTGTAATCTGCCAAGATGTTAAGTAGCTTATAAAATACTTCGAACCACGGGAGATAGCTAGGGAAGAAGAAGAAACACACGAAATATTAGTATGCAGGTCAAAAACTTTAACCAGGAGCAAATTCAAGACTGGTACATTTCTGTCTTTCTCTACAGCCTAAAGAGTCATCCTGTCATAGGCTGTACTAGAAACACAGACTGGTGAAATGCTAATTATTTCTGGGATTTAAAAAAATTGCCTGTAAAACACAGAGGAATGAATGTTCATTATAAATTATTCCAGTGCCTCAGAGCTAGAACAGGTTCATACAGAAGACATTCAAAGCAGACTCTGCAATCAGGAACCATCTATGAGCAGCCCCCCAGGCCTCTGCCCCCACACCCACCCTTTCCAGGAAGGCTCCAAGTTTCTCAGGACTGGACACACACAGCCGCGCACACATACAGCACTTGCACTGCTGGCAGCTGTGAGGTGTCCCAAAGGCCCCACGAGCCCAGAACCAGTCATACTGTCACAGCGAACACTCCACCTGCAACATGCTCTTTCCACATACTGGGGGGTGTGCTCTAACCCTCCGTCGCCCCACTGCCTTCCTCTGGATCCTATCACACCCCTTAACTCGAATGACAGCCTGGATCTGACTATCGCCCTTCCTCTGTGTTGCTCTTTGAATGATCTTTCTAAAATGCAAATCTAAGTGGCACACTGGATTCAAGTTCTTCAGCGTGTCCCACTGCTACAGGACTGGATGGCGCTGGAGGCTCTCCACTGGCAGGCCCCTGACTGTCCTACTTCTCCAATACGTACTCCCCTCGTTGCGGCTTCACTGAGGACATGCAGGCATCCTCCAGCCTGCCTGAGCTTGTGTGCACTGGCCCTTTTCTCCCTCTGCCGTTCATGGTCTAGTCCAGTTGATTTCTACTCATCCTCCTAACAGCATCATGCCCTGGGCTCTTCTTTTCTACGCTGCCCTGGGCATGTGCGTGCCACGTGGCACAGGATGGTGTGTCTGCCTTCCCAACAGCCTGTGCATAAATGGTGAGGAAGGGTCACGCCTTTCTTCGCTTTGTCTTCCCAGAGCCCAGCACGAAGCCCGGCAGACCGTCGGTGCTCAGTGTTGACCCAACAAACAAAACTGAACAAAGACAAACAGCAAAGGCACTTTAGTGCCACAGAATTGTTGTTGAAATTCATATCCCTCCTCCCAAGAAGCTTTGTCACTTAATTCAAATGGCTTTGTTCATCACAAGAAACTTTCCAAAGCGACATCAAATAGTCACGTGGGCAGAGTGTGTACCGAGCACTTGCGTCGTGCTGACATCCACCCTGCCGAGGTGGCAGGGCCCGTGACTGTTAGAGCTGGACGCGAAAGAGGGCGCTGCTGCTGTCCGACTCCGTCCTGCCCTGCAGGGGGAAATCGGCACCCGGCACCGATTACCAGCCGTGCCGCCAAGGGTAATAAATGAAGTGAGAGGCAACAGAGAGGACAGATAAAGTGCACAGTCCTCTATCATGAGCGTCTGTCTGAAGCCAGCACATGCTACTGTAAAATTTAAGTAGCTTATCAAAATATACTGATAAGCAACTTAACTTTTCACTTCTATGACAGCATTATCACTTACGTTAATATGTTTCAATCAGCTCTGGCAGCTGCATATTGACTATTACAGAGCAAATGACGGCTGCCACTTTACACAGCATTTACTTTGGCAGAGCAATGTAAACATTCAAGAGGGATTAGGGAGGAGATAAGTTTCTCCCTTCCTATTCTGTTAAATAAACCTCAGCTGAGTTAAAAGCCATTCTAGTAGGAACAATAAATCCCCTCAGAAGAAAACTCTTGCCCAGATTAGAGGACACTTGGTAAACAAATTCAACCGAGGGCTACAAATGCTTTTTATTTTTATTTTATTTATTTATTTTTTCCTCCCGAAAGAAAAAATACCACTAGTTAAAATCTAGGAACCGAAAGTCGGGAAGAAAGATAATAAAAAGCAAGAAAATACTTCCTTGCAAGGACATTGTGGCCTCAAGTAACAGAGAAAAGCTGGACTCACTACAGGGTACTTGCTGAAGTGGCTTAGGGCAGGCTGGATGCTCTGATCACCCAGGACTGCGGCATACACGGAAGCAGTTTGGGCCACTAAGTTCAAGTGAACAACCCAGCTTGGGCCCGGAACCTCAAGCTGCCATGTCTTCCCAGCTGTGAGGGTGAAGGAAGGTGACGTGGTGGGACAGCCTGGCCCGCAGCACACAGTGCCGGGTTCTCAGACTCGGCCTCACCAAATCGATTCTTTTTGGCTCTGCTAAGCAGAACCCTCAGCCATGGGAGGTTTCCCTGGAAATCAGCCATTCCTTCCTCCCCGTGGCCTGACCGGACACAACTGTTCTCCACATGTTGTCCCCTGTGCACTGACAGATGACTATCTAGTGATGGCAGTGTTAAGGTCTTGAAACCAAAACCCAGCTGTCTTCTTCTTCAAAGGACCCCTCTCTTCCCCTGTCGGAGGCCAGGGTTCACAGCTGAACTTTGGCCACTGCGTTTCCTGTACAGCTTCATTAGTGCTGGCACCACAGCTTCGCACTGCCTGTGAGGTTGCAGGTGAGGGCATGGAGTCCCCCCAGTCCATTTTGTGCCTGTCTGTCATCGTGGAGTAAATAGCACTTCCCAAGCCAGACACAGGAAGCAAACACTCCATTACGCCGCTGCGCCCTCGCCGTCTGAAGGCGCTGCGACCGCTCGCGCAGGCGCACGCTCCGCGCAGGCGCACAAGCCGCACCACGCGGTCTCACTCCGCGCCGGGCTCGGTCCAAGGCTCGGTCCAGGGCTCGGTCCAAGGCTGGGGTCAAAAAGACGAACACGAAGCATCCCCGTCCTGGAGCAGGACACGGTGCTCGCGGGGAAAAAAGGGACGCATACACAACAAAGCATCATAGTTTGGGACCAGAAGCGCTGGGACCCTTTCCCAAGCACTTTATTTAGCTTAGGCTTTAGATGGATTTATAAAACGATAACGGAGCATCATCACGGCCCACTCGGCAGAGCCTTGATGGTGAGAAGCCTCCTTCTTGGGCACTGGCCTGGATCCGAGTTTCTCTCACCAAACTGTATCTCAGGTAACTTTGTCCCAGGCTCTGCCCTCACTCCCAGGCCTGACAGTCAAACAGAGAGGCCTCCGCTTTATGCGAGGCAGTAGGAAGTCCTCAACTTGAGAAGAGCACAGGTAGCAGCTGCAGTATTCCCACACAAAACCTAGCTGAAATGAGCTACCAAAGGCCTTTGCAAGATGTGCAGGGGAAGGTTCCAGAGAAAGTGCATACAGTCAAATAGCTCAGGGTCAAAATCACCTGTAAAAAAGCCCTTCATTTGCCTCCAAAATACAGCAGATGTGGTTTGTGAAGACACAAAGTCACTGGCCTGAGTTTGCGGGACATGCTGAGTGAAAACAGCCTATGTTCAAATTTGTCAGGATGGTGAGCTGCCTCAGGAACTGAGTTCCACCGAGGACAGACAACTCACTTTTCTAATCTCGCTCCGCTGAACGAACTGTCAGGATGACCATTCCCGCTGTTGCATGGACATGTACGTATGACTGACCCTGTACAATGGGATTCCACTTCAGTGTCCTAAGTGCTAAAATAGAAAACCATTACAAATTTCAAAAAGCTCTCCCACTTCTCGTGCTGATATTTCAGTTCAAAGCAAAGTAGGTGTGTGTATGATGGGGGCCGGGGGGCAGTGGTGGCAGAGACGAGTGGCAGAGGCTGACCAAGTTGAGGAAGGTGGCCAGCTGCGAGAAGAGCAGCTGGGAGCAGGACGTCAGCACTCAGGCATGGAGAGGAGGCTCCTCGTGGAGAGACAACCTGACACGGGGTGTTAGAGTCCAAGTGGAGTAAAAGGAGCATCTGGAAGGCAGTCTGGTGTGGGGTGTCAGCCCAAGCAGGTAGACGGGCTTCCATGGGAGGTGGCCGGGCGGAGTCCAGCAGTCAACAAGAAGGTCTCTGGGTGGAAGTAGCAGCACGTGGACACACGAATCGAGGAGAAGGCCATGTATTACACGGCATTCTATCAAAATTAATACTAATTTTCTGATTTCAATAATTGCAATGTAGTTCTATAAAAGAATGTTACTTTTTAAAATTACGCACTGAAGTATTTGGGGATTACTGGTTACTATTTTGGCAACATTTCCCAAATGGGGCATTTATATTGTGCTTGCAACTTTCTGGTAAGTTGTTATTGTTTCAAAATTAAAATGAAGAAGAATCTAAAGGGTCTCTTCTTCCATCAAAATATCATAAAAGTAGATCGATTAGACTCTAAGTATAGAGAATAATGACCTGAATTGAGAAAAATAAAAAATTTTAAATCATGGCTGTCAAGAGGGGTGTGCAATAGAGAGAACAGTCCGTGGCAACTGTGGGATTCAATTCTCGTTCGCACAGAGAAGACTGAGCTTCATCTAAGTCTGGAAAGAGATTGTTCTCAGTGCACAGGAGGAAAGGTGGAAGGGGTGGAGATAAAGAGTGTTAGAGGCAGAAAAAACTCACGAGCAATGGCCTGGACGCACTGCAGGAACCTCAGGGCCTGACTCGAGAACTGTGGACAGCTGGAATAGCCAGAGCAGGGGATGCGGGCTGCAGGGCAAGAGATGGGGGCAGAAGGACCAGACTCTGGAGGGCCTCTCATATATCTAAACGATGGGCCTCCCCTTTGTTCTGCAACCAGTGGAGAAACCGAAGGGACAGTTAAAGAGTAACATCCTGAGCATGAGTTTTTAAAACCAGGCAGAAAGTGCCTGTTGCCCCTCATCATAAACCTCAGCCCAGCCAGGTGGATCTCAGCCTTATCAGAACCAGGGTCCACTTCGCTATCCTAAAGAGAAAATCTTAAGAAAACACAACCTAGTCATACGCATAATTTGAAAAAGATCAACACAATGCTCTGACTCTAATATAAAAGAAAAAAAAAACTTACAAAAGTTTTATATTTAAATGCTCAGGTACAATTCTATTAGCAGATGTAATGAAGTAGTCCCACCCTGGGGAGAACTCA